ATATTAAGAATTATTTTTTAATTTAATAATTTTTATTTTATAATTTAATATAATATAAATTATAAATTAAAAAACTCTTAATTTTATAATATTAGCTGATGGAGCTAATGTCGAAAACTCTTTACATTTCTAGAAACTAGACAAGATCAAAATTCGGAACCACTAATCGCTCTAGCAATTTAATATCTTCCCTTGATCACATAAATAAAATGACGGTAATAATGAATCTCATAATTAATTTTTTTTTATATCTGATTATAAATTATATAAGAAGGGATAATCTTTTTTTATTTATAAAACTTTTCTCATTCAATTTAAAACTCTTAAGTTTGAGTTTTAAATTGAATGAGAAAAGTTTTATAAATAAAAAAGATTATCCCTTTTTATATCTGATTATAAATTATATAAGAAGGGATAATCTTTTTTATTTATAAAACTTTTCTCATTCAATTTAAAACTCAAACTTAAGAGTTATAACTTAAAATTTTAAATTTTTAATCATTAAATCATTGTATTGAGGTTCTAAATTCCATAATTAATAACTAGTTATATTATTGACCATGGGAGTAATTTTGAAAAAATTGCAATGAATTGGGGGAAAAAACCAATAGACAGCTGTTTGAGGGTTATTGGATGTATAGATGGAAAAACGAAAGGTGCAAATAATTAAGAATAAAAAAATAACAATTTAAATTATTTTAAATTATAAAATATTAACTTTTAAAAAAGAGGAAACACTTCCTGATGGTATTAGAGTCACATTGAAGAGGCATTGTGAGGCGGACAGAGTTAACCTGTTCAGAGCACTAGGGTCTCCCTTGAAGTAATTATCATCCCCACCAGGCGAGGATTACATTTTTTTGGCCAAAAACAAAGGCCACTGAAATGATTTTTTTGTTTTTAAATCAATTTTTGCTTTATTATATTTAATTTCGTAATAAAAATTTGTCACGTTTGATTTTTTGTGAAGATGGACCACCCGTAGAGGAAATGAAAAAAACCCAAAATTAAATATGTAAAATACAAAATTTTGCAGCTATAAATGTCGTGGTCGTCTTCCTGTACTGCTCCACATCAGGGAGACGTATCCTAAATAATTTAGTTAGAAAAACCAGGAGTCCCAACCCAGAGGAGCCATCTGACCGAGAACATGGGGAGGACTCCTTGCTGCGCTAAGGAAGGCTTGAACAGAGGAGCTTGGACTGCCCACGAGGACAAAATCCTCACCGATTACATTAAAGCTCACGGCGAAGGAAGATGGAGAAACCTCCCCAAACGAGCAGGTATGAATTCAATCAAATTTGTTCATTTCATTAAAAAGTGAAGAAATATGATGAATGGTTTATAATTTCTGATATTCTGGCCAGGTTTAAAGAGGTGTGGCAAGAGTTGCCGGCTTAGATGGCTGAATTATCTCCGACCAGACATTAAAAGAGGAAACATCTCCGTGGACGAGGAAGAACTCATCATCAGACTGCACAAGTTGTTGGGAAACAGGTTTCCATCTTTTATTCTCTTAATCTTGATAAATAAGTTTAGAACAGTGAAGAAAAAAAGGGTTAACTGTTTAGTATTACAGATGGTCTTTAATCGCTGGGAGATTGCCAGGACGAACAGACAATGAAATAAAGAACTACTGGAACACAAACTTGGGGAAGAAGGTACAAGATCTTAAATCCCCTGCTTCAGCTGGTAAGAAAGAATTGAAGAAGAATGAGACCAGACCGCAGTCAACGGCCATCTCGAAAGGGCAATTGCAGAGGTTCGAGTCTAAGGTGGTCCGAACCAAGGCAATCCGGTGCTCCAAGGTTTTCATAAACCCACAACTACCGCCACTGAAAACAGAACCCAATCCCGAGCAGAATAACAGAGAAACTGCAGGGCCGTTCAATAGAACGTTGGCGTCCCATACAACCACTGATGGGTTGTCGTCGTTGGCTGGAAACGACGACAATCCGTCGGATTTCTTGTTGGACTTCAGTGTCGAAGAGTTCTGCTTATCGGATCTTCTGAATTCCGATTTTTGTGACGTTGGTTATAGCAACAAAAACAGCAACGATTTATCGCCGTCGTCGGAACACCCTGGGGTTTTCTCCGACGAAATGCTGCAGAATTGGACCACAGGTGATCGCCTCCAGCCGAATGTGTGCTCTAATCTCCACTCATTTTGTCCATTTCTTGACTACGGAGGGGACTGGTTGTAGGATAACTGAGCTAATAATGTGAAAAGGAATAATGGCTTAAGTTACGGATGGTTTTTTTTTTTTCTTTTTTTTTTTTTAAGAATATTTTGGGTATTGTTTGTACAGTAATTAGAATAACATTTGTGTTGAGCCAGCTTAATTTTTTTTTTTAGGCCAATATTCCAATCTTAACGTTTCAAGTTATCAGTACGCGGGTGTTTTAGATTAAAAAATGAGAAAAGATTATTATTTATTATATAATCTAAAATTATAAAAATAAAAAAATAAATTAAAAAAAT